AAGAGCAGACTGTTCCAATTCATCAGAGAATAGCCTACAAAGATATTGAAACGGAAAGTTAGATGGGCCTTGGTCTAATTTGACTGCATATTTGAGCTCTAAATATACAATCTAGCACTATAAACTACAGAGTTAACTGTAAAAATATGACAACCGCTCATCCAAATTTCGAAAACCCAATACATTGTAAACCACTTATCTAGGATAATGAAACTCTGAATAAATAAGAAACTTGTCTGAACACCGGTGTTTCTTTCTTTGTCCAACATTTACCATAAGGCATTGGGTCAAGTTTGTATTGGCGAGATGACAAAATAGGAACTAAACTATCCTAGGATACCAATGAACATTAAAGTGGGTAGGTACCTGTATATCACTAAACATATAAGGGGGGATACCTGTGTATCAAACAAATAAGAAGGGGGATACCTGTGTATCACTCATATAAGGGGGGATACCTGTGTATCACTAAACATATAAGGGTGGATATCTGTGTATCAAACAAATAATAAGGGGGATACCTGTGTATCAATCAAATAAGAAGGGGGAGATACCTGTGTATCAATCATATAAGGGGGAAACCTGTGTATCACTAAACATATAAAGGGGGATACCTGTGTATCAAACAAATAAGAAGTGGGAATACCTGTGTCTCAATCATATAAACAGATAGGAAAAAATAGGATATTAGGTCTTTACAAATCAATGTTTAAAAAGGGATTTTCTACGCTTTCCTTTATTGGTCCATCTACTGTTTATGTAATCCAACATATCCTGATCAAAGTTTGTATCAGGTTCCCAAGTATTTGTGTTATCAAGCCATCTTACATACATCTCACGACGTCCATGCTTGCGTCGACCTTTGATGATTTCTTTAAAAGTATACTTTTTCAATGGGTCAATGACGGGTTGGGGAGGGGGTTGCCTTTCATTTTCATGAGCTTCTTGTATTTCTTCATCATCTTCTAGAGATTCTGTGTCTAAATCAGGTGCTGGGGCATCATTTTGATTTGGTGGGTGGATAGTCAACCTTTGACGAACTGGTTCAGGGCGAGTATAGAGTTGAAGATTTGTTGCATTCATGAGGGCTTTATGTTTCTTTTGATCAGACTGTCTTCTTAAAGCGTATGTGTGATTTGGACCAATCTCTTCAATATGGTATGGACCGTCAGCCTTGTCGCAGAGTTTACGTGACACTCCTGGTGGGATTTTGTGTACTTTGATTAGCACCAAATCACCAACAGCAAAAGTTTGGGTTTTTGCTTTTTCATCATGGCGAACCTTATCTTTTTCCTTGTTGACTGCCTCATTTTGATGTGCAATTGTATGGGCAACTTTTATATTGGAAATAAATTGGTTGAGGTAGGTTTTAGTGTCATGAGGTAAATTATCTTTTGGTTCTAATGCTATATCAAAAGGAATTTTCATATCCTGACCAAACATCATATAGAAAGGGTAAAAACCTGTAGCTCATGAGACAGACCTTCTGAAAGCCATCATTATACTTGGGATTAAAGAAGGCCATTTATCATGACTTTCCTTGCAATAAGTACGCAGAGATTGAGCAAGAGTATGGTTTTGTCTTTCCACAGTACCATTTGAGTTTGGATGGTAGGACGAAGTGTGATGTTGCGTAATTTGAAAGATTTCACAAATAGCTTTAACAATCTTACTCAAAAATGCCTGTCCCCGGTCACTGTGGAGGACTCTTGGACTTCCGTACCTAGTAACAACTCCATTGTAAAGATTTTCTGCTATTTCGTTTGCATTTTGAGTCTTCATAGGAAATCCCTCACACCATCGACTAAAAGCATCGACGACTAACAGCACATACTCATAACCATCTGGTGATTTAGTAAGTGGACCAAGAACATCAATGTGCCATCGATCAAAACGACCAACTTGTGGCATTTTTGTAAGAGGAGGCCTGTTAGGGTTATAATTCTGTTTTGCCCTTTGACATCTGTCACAAGATTTGACATAATCAATTACATTTTGGTGCATGTTATTCCACCAATACTTTTCCATTAGAGAATTATATACCTTTTCCATACCAATGTGACCTCCAGAAGCTTAAGAGTCATGATAAGACTTTAATGCATCAAGTCGCAAACACTTAGGAAGGGCAAATTGTTTAATTCTTTTAAACTCTTCTGCTAAACCACGACATCGTCTTTGGTACCAATGATTTAGGACACCATCACTTAAACTAAAATACTTGCTTTCTGACACTACCTTGTCTCTAAGTTTGCGATCATCTGGTAACTCCCCTAAAGAAAGATAAGTATAGATTGCAGAGAAATCTGGACACTCTTTTTGCAATTGAGAGAGAGAAATTTTGTCGTCAATTGTTTCCTGAACATTTTGAGCTTCAATAGCAGCTACCATAGGGCTTTCATGTCCATCATCAACATGATCAAACTCATAAATTAATTTTACCTCTGTTCTCCATTTTGATTTACACTCATCAAATTCTTCAGCATCAGAGAGTACATCTTCAGACTCTAATGGTTCTGACAGAGAATCAGTATCATCAGAGGACACCGAAAGAATTTCTTTAGACAATGATATAGCTTGAACAGATTCAGTATTGAAAGGATTTGGAATACGACTAAGACAGTCAGCCACAACATTACTTTTACCAGGTCTATGAATGATAGAAAACTGAAGATCTTGCATTCTTAGTGCCCATCTGGCCAATCTAACAGTGTGTTTTGCTGATTTTAACCATACAAGGGCACTGTGATCAGTGACAACAGTAAAGTGACTATTTGCTAGATAAGGACGATAGGTTTCTACAACTTTTAAGATTGCCAGACATTCTTTTTCAGAAGTGTTGTACCTTTTCTCTTCTTTTGTTAAGGTTTTATTTCCATAGGCTACAACATATTCTTTATTCTCAAAATCTAACTGACCAAGAACAAAACTTATAGCTTCATCTGACGCATCACATGTTAAGATGAAAGGTCTGCTTAGATCAGGGTAAGCAAGTACAGGAGCAGTTATTAAAGCCTGTTTAATGGATTCAAAAGCTATCTGACTCTTAGGAGTCCATTTGAGTTTGACAGGTTGATTCTTGTGAGTGAGAGCAGTAAGAGGAGAAACAATTTTAGAATAGTCTTTAATGAAGCGGCGATAATAATTTGCCATGCCAAGAAAACTTCTGATCTGTTTTTGAGTTTTTGATACTGGAAATTCATTCACAGCTCTGGTCTTTTCTGGGTCAGTTCTTACACCATTTTGAGAAATGTAATGACCTAAGAATTTTATCTCTTTCATAGCAAAGTGGCATTTATCAGGGTGCAATTTTAGATTTGCATGTTTGAGTCGATCAAATACATGAGAAAGATGATTTAAATGATCCTGAAAGTTTTTTGCTAAACACCAGAATGTCATCAACATACACTAAAACAAATTTCCAATTGAGACCACGTTAGACATCAGACATCATTGCCTGGAAAGTGATTGGAGCATTCATCAATCCAAAACTCATACGTTTAAACTGATATACTCCTGTTTGAGTAATAAAAGCAGTTTTGGGTTTACCGGTACTCTCTTCTGTAAGGGGTACCTGATAATAACCAGACTTCAACTCAAGAGAACTAAAGTATTTGGCCTTGTTTTCACCAATAGCATCAAAGACACTCTCCATGTGGGGGAGGGGGAAGGATTGAGGGAGACAAAGAGAATTGAGCTTGCGATAATCAATCGCCATTCTCATAGATCCACCTGAGCGTTTAAAACACATGACCACTGGAAATGCCCAACTAGAAGAAGAGGGTTCAATTATGCCACTTTCTTGCAACTCTTGAACTTGTCTATCTTGTTCATCCCGAACATTAGGAGGCTGTCTGTAAGGATTTAACCTTACAGGTCTAGCACCTGGAACTGTTTCTATGTTGTGTTTATAGAGATGTGTACAACCTAATTCATTTAAAGATGTTGCAAACGCTGACCTGTTCTTCTGTAAAAAGTTAGAGAGTTCAGATTTTTCATCAGAAGTGAGACAAGAGTTTGATAGATCAAAGTGAAGGTCTGTGTCCTTCTCCTTTCTGTTTGATGTTGACACTGCTGCTATATGCTTAGTATTGTCATCAAGAGGGTATATGTCATCAGCATTGACCTGTGACACCTTAGCAATTTCTTTGTGTGCTTTTAACTTAATATCTGAGTGTGTTGGGTTTAAAAGATGCAAACAAGCTTTACCATTCTGAATTTTTACTAGACATTTTGCAACTACAAGATTTTTAAGTGCTGGACAATAAGATTCTAGAGGTTCCAATAAAACAGTACTGTCATGAGTTTGCCTTGAAACTGACACAGGGATATTAATTTCTGAACGTTTTGGAATAGTAACAGCTTTTATTGTCCTTACTAGCCCTGCCTTTATAGATATGGATCCTATAATCATCTTGGGTTTATTCATTTCTAATGTAAGGTCATCAAAATTTATAAAAGCACCTTTTTCATAAAATCAAATCCAAGAATTAGAGTGTGATGTAGCTGATCAAGCACGTGTACAGTTTGGGTAAATTTTGTGCTACCTACTGTAACAACTATATCAATTTTACCCAAAACTGTGACCTGATTTCCATTTGCAGCTACTACCTGTCTCACATTACCTGGACTTAGATTATGGTTTGCATAAGTTGTCTTATTGAGGAAATTTTGGCTTATGACCGAAATGTTTGCACCAGTGTCAATTAAAGCTTTGGTTGTAGTTTCACCTACAGTGACTTGTGTTGTACATTTTTCAGAGTCAAGAGACGTTATAGTAAAAATAGTTTCAGAGTTTTTTGTTTTGACAATTTCCTTATCTTTGTGCCTACCCTCAGACTGTTGCCTTAAGGCAGGCCCGTATCCCTATGGGTATTGCCTATAGCCTTGTGACATCGCCTTAATTTGCTCAGAGCATACAGAAATAAAATGACCTGGGGTTTTACAATGATGGCACATCTTTTTAAAAGCGGGGCATAATGACCTTGACTTACAAGACTTACCACAGCCTTTACAGGGTTCATTCTGTTTATTGGCATAATTTGGTCTGCTGTTCTGATAACTGTTCTGTGGTTGCATGTTTTGCTGAGGGTATTGAACTGCTTGTGGATACTGCACTGCTTGCTGTTGTACTGGTTGATATATATAAGGCGGTGGCATCTGAAATGGCTGTTGATATGGATTAAAACACATTTGTTGATAAGCACTTGAATTAGTTATTTCTTGCTTATTTTGTGGTGGTGTAGAAATAGCTGCAACAGATTGAAAGTGATTTGCCAATCTTTCTGTCATAGTGTTCTTCAGTGATGATATTGCTTTATGGATTGTATCTTCAACTGAAGTGTTGTTTGTTTTTCTCATATTGACTGTCATTTCAGCGTTGACAGCTTTTTTAAGTAAATCAGTCATAGAAACTGGATTTTGAGGAACAACTATTTGCTGACTTTGTTCTTTCATACCCCTATACGTTAATTTAATCAGATATTTGTCTACAACACTTCTATCTTTGTTGTAACTTAATGCCCTATGTATGTATTCAGTGACCGATTCATGTTCTAATTGCCGAAGATTTGTTAAGCCTACATCGTCTTCTTCTAACGGTCTAAATCTGTTTAAAAAAGCAGTTTTGATATGTCTTAATGAATTATTTACTGAAGTGTCTAACATGTGCCACCACTGATTAGCAATACCATCTAAGTAGAATGGAAAGCACAATATTGCTTCCCATTCTTCATATCTCTGGAGGGTTATAAAAGATATGAATGTAGTCCACCACTGTGCAGCATCCATATTTCCATTAAAATGAGTCATATTGACATGTACCTTACTTCTACCCTGGTTATTTGATTGGTGCTGAACTGACGGTTGAGTTGGTGCTGCAGCATGAATTTGTGGTGAGATGGTACCAGTTGGTTGCAGTGCCTGAATGTGCTGAGCTGGAGCTTGTTGTTGCTCTGTTATTTGTTGAACCTGCTGTGGAGCTGGTTGTGGCTCAATTGGTGCTGGAGCTTGGTTCTCATGGTTTGGTGGCAAATGGACCTGTACCCTTTCCTCTGTTAAAATCTGGATCAGGGGTGCCTCTACGTTGTTGGCATTCATGGGTTGTGGCATGTTTGCAGATCTCAGCCAATAGCTCATATATAACCGGGATTTTTGGGTCGTCCACCAGTTGACACAACTAAGTTTTCTATGTATTTGTTGGGTGGGTAGAGCAAGCAGGGTGATGAACTATTGGACAAGCTAACTTTCAGGTGCTGCGTGCTTCTTAAAGAGAGCTGACACAATTGTCTTTGGCAGGCCTGAAAATAGTCAAAACCAAGGATTCAATAAAAAAGAGTTTTTATTGCTTGATAGCATATGGCAGAGTCTATAATATATGATACATCAAAACATAATAATAGGCAGCAAACTAACAATATCAATAGTTCATAAACTAAGCCTTACATGGCTTAGTATAATAAGACCAAATAAAATATATAATTTAAAGATAAAACATCCTAACTGATGTCTATTTCTGAATAGGGAACATGATTTTAATACGCCTTAACCAAACAGACATAAGTTTTAATTTGTCTTGTTACTAAAATTCTTTAACATTAAATTTGTTTATCTTTATACATGTAAAATATTAAAACCAAATATAAACAATCCACATTGTTTTAAACGACTCTCCATAGCACATGCCACCATGAAACATGTAATTATTCTCAAACAAGTGTATATACAAATTATTTTAATTCAAACAAACCCATGTAAACAAATTTGCATATCAAGGGGGGGATAACTACTTAAGTTATCTCATGGACCTAGCTCACATACTAAAATTAAATATTCTGGGACTAATAAGCTTATTTTACTCTAATGTAATATACAATTAAAATGAAGGAATATATTTAGAAGCACTTAAACCATTTGTAAACTACAGGCATCAGTCTAAACTATTTGGATACTTAAACAAATTCTCAAAATACAGAAATCACAAGGCTGGAATGGGAAATTCAGGAGAACTAACATTTCTTTGCTTACACAAGCTTTGTTACTTAGCGACGATGGAAATGTATTACACTAACCATGACTTATTTTGGTTCTAAACTGGTGAAAATACACAATATTGGTCCCACAATTTTGTCGCAAGTAAACCCTGAGTTATCTCCCATATAAATAAATAAATCTATGGCAACCCGCAATACTAAAACTTAACTGTACATTCAAGATCTGTACACAGTGAGATAATTAAACAAAAAGAAGTAAATTAAAACTATTACAACTAAACTGTAACTTCGAAACAAATATATATATATACAAGTTATGTTTCCGTTTACCAAATTAAGGACTTTTTGCCCAAAGTACTTTAGTTAACTTTTCAAACAGAATATCAAGGAATACTTTGAATTTATAATTTTGACGGTTTCATAAATAATTTGATTTAGCAACCCAATATTGAATTCAATCAATTAACCTTTCAAAATTAAATAAATCACATCCTTAGTTTTTAAAACTTGATAGAAAAATATATATAAAATATGTACTCACCTGAAAATAGTCAAAACCAAGGATTCAATAAAAAAGAGTCTTTATTGCTTGATAGCGTATGGCAGAGTGACGCTAATCAAGCAAAAAAGTGAATCCATGGATTTAAACTAATTTTCAGGTTTTCAGCCAATCAAAATTTATTTTACAAAATTTTCAATGTAAAAGTGGCAGATTATTGTACCACGTGCAAAACCACTCATTGTCAATGTGGCTATTTCTATTTCCTTCTTTATTAACTTAACTTGTCAAAAGACGTCTAATTACATAAAGTATTTATTTGTTAACCCCTACAAAAGAACTAATGGACATTATATAATTTAATCTGTCGCCTTGCTTTTTCATAGACGAGATAATATATACAAGATAACTTGAAAATAATCTTTTCTTTGTTTAGCAGATTTACACCTTATATTTCTTTTTTTGAAGATAGATAATAAAGTGAAAGACAACTTGTGAACCAAACTTCAAAATGTTTTAAATCAATTGTAAAATTAAATTTCCAAAATGTCCAAACTATTGAACATAAAAATAAGAATATTCCCTATAAAAATCTAAAGGAAATTTAGTGCAATTTCTAACTATGACACAGTGATGGAATTGATATATTGAGTGGTTCAATGCCTGCATCGGAACAATTTTCATCTTCAGGTTTGAAATGACGCTGGTTTAGTTTAAAATCGTTTATCACTGGCAGGTAATTTGCGCTTTTATATCTTAGAGGTATAAACGAAAAATCGAATATTTTTAGATTAGAAAGTTTTGGACCAACTATTAACATCTGTATACCTAAGGTAGAAAATCCAAAACGGTTACCCGACAAATCTATATGTTCCAGACAGCTAAGATGCTTCCAATTCAAATCAAAAAACGAGTAAGGCAGAATGTCAACTATATTGTTGTCAGCTAAGGCAAGAGTTTTAACAGTTATTGTTTTCAAATACTGCGTCGTCCCTGCTGTTAATATGATGGCATCTGGTATGGGGGATTGTTTATCGTAGATAGGAGCAGTCACCATATGTGATAAATCCAAGATCTCCAAACTTTTGTTTCTAAATGGGTATAATAATTCTAGTCCTTTGGTCAAAGATATCGTAGTACATGTACCTGAAAAACTTAATATAGACAGCTTCGAAAATGGAAATAGCACATTAATTTCTATGTCTTTATTTTCTATAAATTTACATTCCGTCAGATAGAGTTCTGTCACGGAATCCGGTAAATTAACAAAAGTTTTATTTTGTAAAGCCTTGATACTACAGCTTTTGAATCGTATAGAATGGAGTTTCGAATATCTAAATCCAGGTCCGAAAATTGGGTGTCCGTACAAATAAATACTCAAGTTTCGTAATTTTGTGAGCTGTTGAAATGCTTCATCTGGATAAAACAGGTACCTTTTTTTTTATTTGGTGAATTCATATTTGAACTAAAATCAAGGTTGATAATATTTCGGATATTTTTCAATATAAATAAACCATCCGTCGATATATTTAGTGCGTTTCCGGCTAACATACATTTTCCAGACTAGTCAAACCATCAAAGCCTTCTGGTTGTACGGTGTGTATTTTACTGTTTTGGAGCTTAAGTGTTTTCAAATGGCTGTATCTTGCAAACGATTTATTTGAAATATTTCCCAGGTTGTTTTCACTCAGATCCAAGGATTCAATGTATATCGATAAATCTTGCGGAATACCTGTTAAATTTTGATGAAGTATGACAATCTGCTGTTCCGTCTATTAATACACAATCATGAGTTGTTCCAGTGTGAAGAACAAAAGCAGTCAGCAATAAACTTGAAAATTTCACATTTTCCTGTAAGGAAAAAGATAAATAGCATTAACTTTTTTAAATATGAAAATTGTAAAACAAAATTTTAAGTTTATTAATACATAGATTCCTAATTTAAACAATAAAATTCCAGTCGGATTTTATATCTTTAAAATTGTTATACTGCTGTCAATTAAAGGCAAAACATTAACAAATCAACTTACTTCGACCAATAATTAATCCTAGTAAACGTAGTACACAAGATGCAATTGTTACATTCTAAACTGTACGAGAATTTACGTTTTTTTTTGTGTTTTATTCATTTTTTAAGGAAATAATTCAAATAATTGAAGTGCGTAAAAAGATTAACAAATAAGTACATCTGATGTTCATTCAACCATTATAGATAAATGTGTCAATGTTGCATGTATATGATATAATATTCACAAGTGTATTTAATATTTCCGTGTGTTGGTTTAAACGCCTTTTTCCTAGGCCATGCATACGAATATTTAACTTAAAAACCCTTTTATTTTTCATTTCTTTTGAAACTCACATTTTAAAAAAAAAAACAATTCTTGAAATAATTAAGTATTTCTTATATAATTGTTCATACTTTTATTATTCTAATGTTTCATGTGAAAACTCCGTCTCTTAAGGCATTATTTTGCCGCAGAAAAAACATGAAATTATCAAAATATAAAAAAACAACACCAAGAACTCTAAATTTTTCAATATTTTGTACATGTATGTATTTATAAAAGAATACAGTGCCAAAATCCCCCGAGTTGTACGTATTTTATCTGTCCAAGGGTATTTACCTTTTTTTTTTAAATTTGTTTTGCTTCTTTTAAACTATTTTTTCTTTTCTTTTTAACTTAATATTTTTATAAATATATTTGACAAATATAAGATTTAGAGTCTTACAGTCTTATTTCGCATTTAAATAATATTTACAAGAGATATAAATAATGTTTTTTTTTTTAAATAGTTATTCTTCACATATATTTCCATTTCGTCCGAGACATTGATAATACAAATCTGTAATATAAATTCGATAAAAATAATCTGGTTCATGTAAGTAGTGTACACGTAAGAGCGTTCACAATTCAATTTCCCATATAATTTATATTTTCAAGGGGCATAACTCTTTTAGAAATATTTGATCGACACCGATTTTTAATCTTAGACTTCGAGACATTGTTGGTACTTACTTTTGATAAACATTTTATCAAAATCTTACAAGAATTGTACACGTGAGAACGCTTACAAGACCGGAAGAACGGAATGAAGTTTGCAGAAAAACGGAGATGGACAATTTCACTGACGTAAGGACGGTGTTTTTATATCCCCTGTAACGCGTCGCACGGGAGACAAAAAACAATAATGGTACCACTGTTGTCCATTAACCATTGAAAAAGACTCAAATTATAACAAATTTGCTATTTTGAATTTCAGTATAATACAAGAACAAGACTTGTATAATATGTACAACCCAATGATCATTATTTTTTTGTTATCAGACACAACGAGTAAACCAAAAATAAAATTAATGTAAATAAAACTTCTAGTACACATGTTGAGTGTGTAATTTTTTTTTTAAACATCAAGATTTGCATTTTCGAAAAACAACTTTTATACTAGAATTAATTTTCAATGGAATTTTAAGATTCTATATATAAGATATAAGAATTAATGAAATGTGGTTGTAAAAAGCATGGATTCATATTCATCTTTATCAAATTTTAGATAAATGTGACCAAAATACGTTGTAGACTTTAGTTGGTAGATGTATGTTCTTTCTTATATGAATT